TTCTGATAGAGGGCCATGAGACTTAGACCTGAGTGCAAAAATGGAGGCTCTAGCCCCTTCCAGAGCTGAGATATCGAAACTCAAAAATTCGGCCCGAAAAAAAAAAAACGACAGTGGTACCCCTTACGTTTTTTTTTTTGGGCGAAAAATTAAGTTTCTCCAATCTTCCAAAACTCTGGATTCTGATAGAGGGCCATGAGACTTAGACCTGAGTGCAAAAATGGAGGCTCTAGCCCCTTCCAGAGCTGAGATATCGAAACTCAAAAATTCGGCCCGAAAAAAAAAACGACAGTGGTACCCCTTACGTTTTTTTTTTGGGCGAAAAATTAAGTTTCTCCAATCTTCCCAAAACTCTGGATTCTGATAGAGGGCCATGAGACTTAGACCTGAGTGCAAAAATGGAGGCTCTAGCCCCTTCCAGAGCTGAGATATCGAAACTCAAAAATTCGGCCCGAAAAAAAACGACAGTGGTACCCCTTACGTTTTTTTTTTTGCGAAAAATTAAGTTTCTCCAATCTTCCCAAAACTCTGGATTCTGATAGAGGGCCATGAGACTTAGACCTGAGTGCAAAAATGGAGGCTCTAGCCCCTTCCAGAGCTGAGATATCGAAACTCAAAAATTCGGCCCGAAAAAAAACGACAGTGGTACCCCTTACGTTTTTTTTTTTTGGGCGAAAAATTAAGTTTCTCCAATCTTCCCAAACTCTGGATTCTGATAGAGGGCCATGAGACTTAGACCTGAGTGCAAAAATGGAGGCTCTAGCCCCTTCCAGAGCTGAGATATCGAAACTCAAAAATTCGGCCCGAAAAAAAAACGACAGTGGTACCCCTTACGTTTTTTTTTTTTGGGCGAAAAATTAAGTTTCTCCAATCTTCCCAAAACTCTGGATTCTGATAGAGGGCCATGAGACTTAGACCTGAGTGCAAAAATGGAGGCTCTAGCCCCTTCCAGAGCTGAGATATCGAAACTCAAAAATTCGGCCCGAAAAAAAAACGACAGTGGTACCCCTTACGTTTTTTTTTTTGGGCGAAAAATTAAGTTTCTCCAATCTTCCCAAAACTCTGGATTCTGATAGAGGGCCATGAGACTTAGACCTGAGTGCAAAAATGGAGGCTCTAGCCCCTTCCAGAGCTGAGATATCGAAACTCAAAAATTCGGCCCGAAAAAAAAAACGACAGTGGTACCCCTTACGTTTTTTTTTTTGGGCGAAAAATTAAGTTTCTCCAATCTTCCCAAAACTCTGGATTCTGATAGAGGGCCATGAGACTTAGACCTGAGTGCAAAAATGGAGGCTCTAGCCCCTTCCAGAGCTGAGATATCGAAACTCAAAAATTCGGCCCGAAAAAAAAACGACAGTGGTACCCCTTACGTTTTTTTTTTTGGGCGAAAAATTAAGTTTCTCCAATCTTCCCAAAACTCTGGATTCTGATAGAGGGCCATGAGACTTAGACCTGAGTGCAAAAATGGAGGCTCTAGCCCCTTCCAGAGCTGAGATATCGAAACTCAAAAATTCGGCCCGAAAAAAAAAACGACAGTGGTACCCCTTACGTTTTTTTTTTTTGGGCGAAAAATTAAGTTTCTCCAATCTTCCAAAACTCTGGATTCTGATAGAGGGCCATGAGACTTAGACCTGAGTGCAAAAATGGAGGCTCTAGCCCCTTCCAGAGCTGAGATATCGAAACTCAAAAATTCGGCCCGAAAAAAAAAACGACAGTGGTACCCCTTACGTTTTTTTTTTTGGGCGAAAAATTAAGTTTCTCCAATCTTCCCAAAACTCTGGATTCTGATAGAGGGCCATGAGACTTAGACCTGAGTGCAAAAATGGAGGCTCTAGCCCCTTCCAGAGCTGAGATATCGAAACTCAAAAATTCGGCCCGAAAAAAAAAACGACAGTGGTACCCCTTACGTTTTTTTTTTTTGGGCGAAAAATTAAGTTTCTCCAATCTTCCCAAAACTCTGGATTCTGATAGAGGGCCATGAGACTTAGACCTGAGTGCAAAAATGGAGGCTCTAGCCCCTTCCAGAGCTGAGATATCGAAACTCAAAAATTCGGCCCGAAAAAAAAACGACAGTGGTACCCCTTACGTTTTTTTTTTTTGGGCGAAAAATTAAGTTTCTCCAATCTTCCAAAACTCTGGATTCTGATAGAGGGCCATGAGACTTAGACCTGAGTGCAAAAATGGAGGCTCTAGCCCCTTCCAGAGCTGAGATATCGAAACTCAAAAATTCGGCCCGAAAAAAAAACGACAGTGGTACCCCTTACGTTTTTTTTTTTGGGCGAAAAATTAAGTTTCTCCAATCTTCCCAAAACTCTGGATTCTGATAGAGGGCCATGAGACTTAGACCTGAGTGCAAAAATGGAGGCTCTAGCCCCTTCCAGAGCTGAGATATCGAAACTCAAAAATTCGGCCCGAAAAAAAAAACGACAGTGGTACCCCTTACGTTTTTTTTTTTTGGGCGAAAAATTAAGTTTCTCCAATCTTCCCAAAACTCTGGATTCTGATAGAGGGCCATGAGACTTAGACCTGAGTGCAAAAATGGAGGCTCTAGCCCCTTCCAGAGCTGAGATATCGAAACTCAAAAATTCGGCCCGAAAAAAAAACGACAGTGGTACCCCTTACGTTTTTTTTTTTGGGCGAAAAATTAAGTTTCTCCAATCTTCCCAAAACTCTGGATTCTGATAGAGGGCCATGAGACTTAGACCTGAGTGCAAAAATGGAGGCTCTAGCCCCTTCCAGAGCTGAGATATCGAAACTCAAAAATTCGGCCCGAAAAAAAAACGACAGTGGTACCCCTTACGTTTTTTTTTTTGGGCGAAAAATTAAGTTTCTCCAATCTTCCCAAAACTCTGGATTCTGATAGAGGGCCATGAGACTTAGACCTGAGTGCAAAAATGGAGGCTCTAGCCCCTTCCAGAGCTGAGATATCGAAACTCAAAAATTCGGCCCGAAAAAAAAACGACAGTGGTACCCCTTACGTTTTTTTTTTTTGGGCGAAAAATTAAGTTTCTCCAATCTTCCCAAAACTCTGGATTCTGATAGAGGGCCATGAGACTTAGACCTGAGTGCAAAAATGGAGGCTCTAGCCCCTTCCAGAGCTGAGATATCGAAACTCAAAAATTCGGCCCGAAAAAAAAACGACAGTGGTACCCCTTACGTTTTTTTTTTTTGGGCGAAAAATTAAGTTTCTCCAATCTTCCCAAAACTCTGGATTCTGATAGAGGGCCATGAGACTTAGACCTGAGTGCAAAAATGGAGGCTCTAGCCCCTTCCAGAGCTGAGATATCGAAACTCAAAAATTCGGCCCGAAAAAAAAACGACAGTGGTACCCCTTACGTTTTTTTTTTGGGCGAAAAATTAAGTTTCTCCAATCTTCCCAAAACTCTGGATTCTGATAGAGGGCCATGAGACTTAGACCTGAGTGCAAAAATGGAGGCTCTAGCCCCTTCCAGAGCTGAGATATCGAAACTCAAAAATTCGGCCCGAAAAAAAAAACGACAGTGGTACCCCTTACGTTTTTTTTTTTTGGGCGAAAAATTAAGTTTCTCCAATCTTCCCAAAACTCTGGATTCTGATAGAGGGCCATGAGACTTAGACCTGAGTGCAAAAATGGAGGCTCTAGCCCCTTCCAGAGCTGAGATATCGAAACTCAAAAATTCGGCCCGAAAAAAAAAACGACAGTGGTACCCCTTACGTTTTTTTTTTTGGGCGAAAAATTAAGTTTCTCCAATCTTCCCAAAAC